TGAAGTAGCATGTGCTAATTAATTAATATGTAAAAAATATCCTTTTCCTAAGGGAAAAGGAAACCTGGATTCTTTTATTACTGGAAAAGAACTACTAAATGAAAAATCAGAAACGGACATTTATTCTTTGAACAGCTCCGGCTGCTTTCCAGTATTGCCTCTGAGGTTTCAAGATGCGGCAAAGAACCAGATTAATATGTTCTGTAATCATATTTTTTACCACTTTCTGACTCAAAACCACTCACAGACACCCCCCACCCCATTATTTTAATTCCAGGAAGTGCCTCAAAAGGCAGGAAGAAACTTAGCGAAGTCGAAGAGAAAACCACTGGACACCCTCAGAGCCTGAATCTTCCTGCAGTTGCTAGGCCTTATGACCAATTCATCCTAGTGCATATGTTCTATTTGAAATGAAATTCACACCCCCCTATACACTTCCACTCAAAACCACTGCCCTTTGGAGCTTCTCAGGAGAGGTGCTATGAAAGGGTGGTAAAGATTTGATCATGGATCAAGACAACCTGTGTTTAAATTCTCATTCTTGCACCTACTAGGTATTACTTACTGGGAAATTAACTTACTTGTGCCTCAATTTCCTCATCCATAAAATAAAGGTAATATTTCCTCCCTTATAGTATTGTTTTAAATATTATATTGGTTGGTACTTATAAGATGCTTGAATGCCTGGCACATTCTAAGAATTCATTAAACGTTAACCCTTATTTTTTTTATTAGCTCATAAAAAGCTTCCCAAGACAGTATCATCATTTTTCTAAGTCCTTATTATTCTGTGTTATATTTTCCTGAGCATTTATAGGAGTTTGAATTAGGTCTTTTCTCTGATTTCTCCCATGGTACCCTGTGTACGGTCTTGATTTTTTTCTAGGGCTTAATTTCTCCTCCTACAAATGTGTGCATCGAAGCCACCTTAATCCAAAAAGGTTTTGCTTCAGTGTATATGTTGCACTGTGTTGTAGAAACACAGTAAACTTATGTTTTGTGTAGATAATTAAAAGAATGAAATGTTCCAAGCATTGAAATATTTTTGTTAGAAGATAAACATTTAAAAATAATTAAAATGCGATAAAATACACTTAACCTAATTTACACAAGGTAAAATAGCGTTATAGAAACAGCAGTCTGGTATTGACCTGCAACTTAATCTTAGCTCTGCCACTTACTGGGGTGATGTGTTAATTGCTTTCTTTACTCTCTGGCTCTCATTGTCTATTATCAAAATCATCACAGTTGTTTTGAATAGGACTGCGGGAGGGTCCGGACACTAGCTTTTTGCTCTGATTCTAGTACCAACTGGTTATATTGCTTCAGACAAACCACTTCCCTCTCTGTTTCATGATTTTTTCCTAACATAAGGTGATTGTAATAGACCTTCCCAACCCCTACCTGGCGCTGGAGGTGCTGCAGGTAGGTTACAGTTGTGTCCATAGGTTGATGCCCTCAGCCCCTGAGGCAGATATGCAAAAATCTGAGGTAGCAGAACTAACTCCCTGTGCTGGTCTCCTCTGGACTGAGCAGCCTTGTTCATTTTCCCCCAAAACAAACAAACAAACACCAGCTTTTAGTTTTATTGATCTATTTTGTCGACTCTTTAGTCTCCCTGTCTTTCCTTCGTTTTTTGTTGTTTCCTTCCTTCTACTAAGTTTGGGCTTAGTCTCTTCTTTTCTATTAGTAGTTCTTTAAAGTAAGGTTGCTTTTTTAAGATTATTTTTTTTTCATAATATATGTATAGATTGTTAGAAACTTTCCTCTTAGGACTGCTTTTGCTGCATCCCATAGTTTTTATATTTGTGTTTTCATTTGTCTCATTACAAATGAAATACACACACACATAATTTCCCCTTTGATCCCATTGTTTGTTTAGGAGCACATTATTTAATCTTTGTGTATTTGTAAATTTTCCAGTTTTATTATTGTAATTGATTTCTAATTTCATAGCATATGGTCATAAAAGATCATGATGAGGTTTCAACCTTCTTAAATTTATTAAGATTTGTTTTATGGCCTAATGTACGATCTATCCTGGCGAATGGCCCACGTGCACTTGAGAAGAATATGTCTTAATATTTTGCTGCTGCTGGGTGGAATGCTCCGTGGGTCTCTGTTAAGTCCATCTAGTCCAACATTTCTTTGTTAATTTTCTGTCTTGATGATCTGTCCATTATTGAAGATGGGTTATTGCTGTCCTCTTCTATTATATTGCTGTCTACTTCTCCCTTTAGATCCCTTAATATTTGATATATATATTTAGTTGCTCCTATGTTGAGTGCATACATATTTATAAAAATTATATCTCCTCAATGAATTGATATATTAATATATATCACTATAAAATGACCTTTTTGTCCCTTGTTACAATCGTTGCTTTTAAAATCTATTTTTTCTGGTGTAAGGATAGCTTCCCCAATTTGTGTGTGTTTGTGTGCATGTGTGTGCATGTTTGTGTGTGTGTGTGTGTGTGTGTGTGTGTGTGTGTTCATTTTCATGGACTTTTTCCATTCTTTCACTTTCAGTATATATGTCGTTAAAGCTGAAGTGAGTTTCCTGTAGGCAGATTGTAATTGGGTCTTCTTTTTGTTTCATTAAAACATTAAGCTATTCTATGTCTTTTTATTGGCCAGCTAGCAATTTAGAAATGAGATCAAGCAACTGTTTTTCAAATGGTAGTGAGATTTTGGATAAAAACACTTTTGACAAGTACCCTGTACTTATATTAAAGTTTAGCATTTTATGCACAAAAGACATAAATAATAATATTTTATTATGGACTTCCCTGCTTAAATAGTGCCAACAGCAGGAATTTTAAAAGACTATGTTAGAACTGTGAATTATTAATCATCCCTTTTCTTTTGTTTCCCTGGTAATGTCTGGCCTGGCCCCTCCTCTCTGTCTTTGTCTCTAGATTTAGATGTGGGGATTCTATAGCCTCAAATGGGGCGTGTTTTTTAAATTTATTTTGAATTATTTTATTCTTTGGCACTCCTATTATTTGTACTTCATGGGAATGGGGAAAGATTAGACCAAGGCTTATAACTGTCATGAGGAGAAGAGCTGGGATGGATAATAAGATTGAGAAGATACTAAGGCAGTGGAGCTAGTCCTTACTTGTATAATTACAGAGGTATAGAAAACTTCTTACTAATGGATAAGATCTTTTACATTTCATCCCAGGACAAAGACCCCTCCTTGGAAATCTTGGTCCCCTTTCAAATACAAACAATTCAGTGGGGGAGGAGGGGCAAAGCATAAAGATTAAAATTCTAGATGGCACTGGAAATGAACTTTGCCATCTTCTAGAATAGGGCTTTTCATAATGTGGGTCCCCTGAGTTCCTTTCAGGATGTCCATGTTGATATTTACACCGAAGATTCAAAAACAAACATAAATATAACCTCTGGCATCTAGTTTGAATAAAGGCAGTTCTATCAAATGACACCAGTGGTCATATATTCTTAATCATTACATACTTGCATCTATACATACACACATGCACATGTATGCTAGTTTTATGTAAGAATTCTTTGAAGCAGTAAAATTTATTAATTTCATTGGATTATGACCCATGAACATATGTCTTTTTAATCTTCTATATGATAAAATAGGAGGTGCACGTAAAGCATGTCTGAGTATACTGAAGAATGACAGTTGATGGTTATCTCAGGAAAAAGTACTTTTGTGATTCAGTTGTGAGCTGAACTTGCCACTTTTTTTATGGAACTAATTTTTTCTTGACAACCAACAGACAAACCACGGTTATTCAGACTTCAGTGTTTGGCAGACATCTTCTCAAAAAAATATGCAGGAAGCCTGCCTCTTTAAGAAAAACAACTGACAGTATTTATTACCAATGATAAAATTTAAGCTTTCAAACAAAAAAATAGAATTTTGGAGAACTCCTATTTGTCACCATGAGCTTGACAGTTTTCCAATATTTGAAGACTTTTCTGATGAGATTGGTGGTAATATTAATGAATATAATGTTTTGATATTATATAATGAAAAGTGTCAAAATGTGGAAGATCTGAATAACTCAGTGTTCCCATATTTTCCAGATGACTAATGCATGATGTTACAAAATCAGAAGGGTAGAAAGATCTATTCAAAGAACAATGTGGAACATTGGATTTTAATGTAACAGAGGAGGAGTTCATTGATATGGGTTCAGATTGCACACTGGAACTAACTGTTAAGAAACTATGTTTGTTAATCTTAGTATGGCACCATAAAAGAACATACACAACTATCATAACAGACTGAGTGCAGAAGCAAATCTGACTATGCAATCCTCACCTGCTCAGCTAGATAGTGAAGAGATCTGCAAAATGCAGTGATGCATTTCTTCTTGCTGCATTAGGTTTGTTTCAGAACATACAGTTATTGTCATAAAAATGTGTTATTTATGTGATATGTAATGTAAAATAAATAATTATTTTTCTCAGTTTTTATTTCTAAAATGACAATTATCAATAGATGTAAGCCACATATATAGAGAGGATTCAATCAATTTGAAGAGTGTGAAAGGGTCCTGAGACCAAAACATTTAAGAACTATTGTTCTACACCAACATCTGACTTTACAAAGAGGTAACTGAGGCTGTAACAGGTGATATAGCCACTCACATGGGGCCAACTGTGACTAGATCCTATCTCTGAAAACCACTGTTTGCATTCCTTATTTCCCCTACTATACTACTACCATAACAACCTTCACGTGAACAAGGTGGTCAGCTACTGTCCAGTAAGCAAGGTTAGGAAAGTAAGTTATAATGGAGGTCAGCTGAGAAAGCCTTTCTCACAGCCAGGGGAATGAGAGGTCGGGGGAGGCCAAAGGGCCTCTTTCAGGCAGTGGGTGCATCCATCAGGAGATGTGGGCTGAGACAGATGAGCAGGTTCCAGAGGAAGAAGAACATGACCTACTGGGGTCTGTGTGCCTCTTTTCCAGAATACAATGACCTTTTCTTTATCCTTTGACCTTTCCTCCAGGGAGTTTGCCCGTTGGAAAGTGAACAACTTGGCTCTGGAAAGGAGAGACTTCTTCACTTTGCCACTGCCTCTTGCCCCAGAGTTTATCCGGAATATCCGCCTCCTGGGAAGGAGACCCAACCTGCAACAGGTTACCGAAAACCTGATCAAAAAGTACGGCACCCATTTCCTACTTTCAGCCACCCTTGGAGGTAAGCAACACTATGATCCTGCATGGATTGTCGCCAAGTTGTTTAAAATAGCTTTAAGGTCCACTGAGTATAGCTTCGATAGTCTTCTTGGATCTTTTGTTTTTCCTGGCCTATTGCCTGAGAATTGTCTCCTTTCTGGTGCCTTTGAGAACAGTATAGCTTCTTAATATCCAAACTCATTCCAGAATATTGCTGTTTGCTTCTCAGCATCTTCCTGAGAAGGGGGATGGGATAAAGAGGTTGGGAGACACATAGACTCCCACAAACCCTTACCAGCAGGGGGTGCTCTCAGTTTCCTTTTGACAGCCAATTAACTGAAGCTTCTCCACATCCCTATATTTGCTGTGGCTACAGTTGCCAGGCCCATGGGCAAAGAGGGAAATGTCTGTTGAGTCCCTCACCCCTCTTCCTCTTTATATAGATGAGTGACCACACACCAATTCTAATAATTCTGAGCTGGATGGAGGCTAGAGTGGGGGTGGGATGGTGCAACCTTGGCAAGGACCCTGGGCAGAATCAGAAGCTCTAGAGAGACAGTTCTCTCTGCCTGGCAGAAGAAAACAGGATTTATTATAACATTTAGCTCACTGTCTGGTGGACAAAAAAGAGCTCTCTGAGGGGTCAGGCCACTGCCGCATGTGGTAGGTGTTGAGTGTTTGAGGGGAAAGGGCCCCTTAAACTTCAAGGCTTCTGCCCTTTTGGAGGGATTATAAATATCCATGGCAACTTCTCATAAACAACTTAAGAGGAAGAATTTTATATCCTCAGGTAGATGCCTGAGATAGAGTTCAAAAGAGGATGCCAAATGGATAAGCTGAATGACCAGGGGGAGCTTTGGGGAGACATATGGAACTAAGAAAAGGAAGGAGGCCTCTCAGGTGTGATGTCTATTGTCCTATGACAGTCGGTAGAGATTTCTCTAAATATGGTAAGGGAAGGGGAAGAGGCTGTCTGCAGGAATAATAGGCTCTTCCTTAGCTCCGTCTATTCTGGCCAACATTTCAGGTTCTTATTGGTAGGGGAGGAGGGAGCAGAAGGCCTCATCAATGAACCCACGTTGTTTGCTATAGGAGAAGAGTCTCTGACCATTTTTGTGGACAAGCGGAAACTGAGCCGAAAGACAGAAGCAGCAGGAAGTGCCCCTACAGCTGGTGGCAGTGGGAACAGCTCAGCTGTGTCCCTGGAGACCCTGCATCAGCTGGCAGCCTCCTACTTCATCGACAGAGAGAGCACCCTGCGGAGGCTGCATCATATCCAGATAGCCACAGGGGCCATCAAGGTAACGGTCTAAGAGGCACTGGGGAGGCTAGAGTCTTAACCAACTCCATGTCTAACAGGCCTGACCAATTGAGGGGGAAGGACGTTTTTCTCACAGAAGCATAGTCAGGCCTAAACATACTCCAGGTCTTCATTCTGCCGCAAACACTCATGTAGATCTGCTCTGAGGCTGACTCCAACTGAGGGACTATAAAGGGAGACAAAGCCCCTGCTCCCCCAAATAGTAGGGGATAATAAACAATCAAATATCAGCAAAGTAATTTAGGACTAAAGAGGGAGAGAAACTTCTATATCAGCAAAGTAATTTCAGATAATGATAAAGTTAAAAGATAGAGTCATAAGGTACAGATTTTCTGGGGTGAGAGAAGGGAGCAGATAATATTCACCAGTTTGGTAAGGGGAGGACACCTTTGGTCTATATGCGGAGGCTGAGATCTGAATATAGATTGTATATAGACTGTATATAGACCTGAGGGAAGAGTGTTCAGGCAGAGGAACAGTAAGTGCTGAGGCCCTGAGGCAGGAACCAGCTTGGTGGTTTGGTGGAACACAGAGAAGACTGCTATGACTACGGTGAGGTGAACAAGAAAGGTGCTGGTACAAGATGAGGTCAGAAGTAAGCTGGAGCAAATTACGTGGCCATGATAGAGAACTTCAAAGTACAATTGAAGACAACCAAAGTGTTTGAAGCAGAGGAGCAATATGATCATACATATTTGGAAAAGATCAATATTACTGTAACTTTAGTAACTATAAACTCCATCCCACTATTTCTACTTACATCTACCAGAGTTCTAGGAAAGTTCATATTGTTTTAGAGAAAACTAGTGAGAATACTTGAGAATACTGGACTTTTAAAATTCAAAATATAAAATTAGGGTAGCAAATAAGGGCCAGTCTCATCTTATATCCTGCCTTTATCCTACCCAAAATTCATAAGGAAGTCCCATTTATTTATTTATTATTCAATAAATATTTTGAACACCTACTATGTGTCAGTCACTCTTCTGGATACTGATAATCCAAGAGTGAACAAAACATATTAAGTCCATGATATCATGAAGCATAAATTCTAGTAGTAGAGACATAATTAAATAAATATGCCATGTCACGTGAGATTATTGGTATGAAGAAATGAAACCAGGGAAAAAAGGATAATGGAGACCCGGTGCTTTAGGAAATGTTATTTAAGGAGAAATTTGAATGAGGTGATGGAGTAAGCCACATGTGCCTCTTAAGAGAGAGCATTTTAGATGGAGGGAAGAGCAAATGCAATTGTCCTAAAATGGGAGTGTTCTTGGTGGAACACTATATGAGTGGAGTCAAAGAGGGGTGAAGTGGGAGATGGCACAAGTGGTTGTATGCACAAGATCATGAGCATTACTGATTAGTGACTACTACAGTGGTTGAGGTGAGAAATCATTGTAGCTTGCTCGGACATAGCTGGCTATAAATAAGCAGTGAGAAGTTAGAAGATTTAGAATATGTTTTGAAGATAGAGCCTACAGGACTACTCATGAATTAGAAGAAAGGAATCCAGATTAACAGCAAGATTTTTGGCCTGAGCAACTGGAAGAACAGCGATTGCATTTGATAAAAAAGGGTCACCCTGAGGGAGGTGCAGATCTGAAAGGAGTGAATCAACAGTATGGTTTTTAACATATTGAACCTGACATTTCTATTAGACATCCAAGTAGAGATATCTAACAGGCAGTTGGATATCAACACCAGGATTTCAAGAGAAAGGTCATGATTGGATATATAAATGTGGCATACAAATATATACACATACATGGTTGATATTTAAACCTAGGGGAAAGAATGAGATGTGATCACCCCAGGAATGAATGTAACTGGTAAAGTGGCCCTGGGGCTGAGCTCTGAAGCGCATCAATATTCAGAAATGGGAAAGAGGCAGAGGATCTGACAAAGAAGGGGGAGACAAAACAGAAAGAACCAGTCAGATCATAAAGCCTTATGAAGAAAGCATGTCACAGAAGCAGCAGGCAACTGTGCTGAACGCTGTTGAGCAGTGAGATTGAGAACTGCTGTAAAGGCAAACAGAAAAATGGACGTTAGCTGGAGAGTGATATGGGATCAAGTGTTTCTGTTTTTCAGATGAGAGATATTCTGGAATGTTGGTACGTGGATTGAAATGAGTCAGTAGAGAGGGAGAAAGTGATGATGTAAAAAAGAGTTAGGCGATGAGTGCAAAAGTGATTGAGTAGATGAGAGAAGTTGATATTCCATGCGTGGATGGATGAGTAGGTCTCACATAGTAGCGTGAACACTCACTCCTTCCTTTGTGGGCAATGCAGAGCACTGTAAATGCAGTCGGGGACAGAAGGGGGGCGGGGTAGGAAGGGAACCAGCAGTTCTGGCCTGATTGATTTCACTTCCTCCATGAAACAAGAAACGAAGTTCTTGGCTAAAAGGAAAAGGAACAAAGTTCTTGGCTAAAAGGAAAAGGAACTGTTGAGGAAAATGCATGAAATGGTCTTTTCAGAGAGTGGGAGTTAGGTATGGAGTCAGTTGATGAGATAAATGTAGTGGGCTGTTGAGCAGCACTGGATGCCCATTTGAGACTCATTTGTAATAATTATAACATGAAACCTGTCAGCAGAGTTTTGAGTTTTATCAGCTACATTCAGCACCTCATATTTGGCCATGCTAGAATAGATGAAGAGTTGGATTTAACCAAGGTGTGTGTGTGTGTGTGTGTGTGTGTGTGTGTGTGTGTGTGTGTGTACAAGATGAAAAAAAAATTGCAAGGGAGCTGAGTATAAAAAGGAGTGAGTATTGTGAGGAACTAAGGGGTTTGAGAGCATTAAGAAGTGACAGAAAGTAAAAAAAGTGGTCAGGTCAAAAACTTGGAACTCTAAGTAGGATTCTTCCACATGTATGTTTAAATTATTGTTGACATTAGGTAGATTTGATGACTTGTTAGAAGAAAGAGACTAGAGGAAGCACCAAATGTGTGTTGCTTAATATTGAAGTTATAGAAGGAGTGAAGGTACCAAAAATTCAGGTTCTGGGGTATGGACATAGGTGTGGGTAGCTAAGATGGGATTGGAAAACAAGATGAGGAGGTGAGGTGAGGAGGCCAGAGAACTGAGAGGCCAGGGGGTTAAAGAAGGGTCATCAACATGGGTGCTGAAGTCAACAGGAAGGATGCAGATGTGATGATGGGAGGAGTGATGGTGGTAAGCAAGCTTAATGTTGAAAATCCTCAATGAGTGAAAGTGAGTAAAGGAAAAATAGACTGCAAATAGGCTGACAAAGTCCTGATGGTCCTAGCTTCCAAGAAGCCAGAGGTCATTTAGAGAGGAAAGAGAAGCAGGTTCAGGATATCACAATGGCAGACTCATCTGACTTCCACATCCAGGAGAGTGAGGTATGGGAAAACAGCCACTACTAGAGAAGACTGCTGGGGAAGTTGTGTATTCGGGATCTGCTAGACTGTGGCTAGTGCAAAAGGTGAGGAGGACTCTTGAGAAGAGATTGAGGCTATAGGGGATCTTGCTGAGGACTGATTATTTCAAAGGGCACGATGGAAGGGATTAGATTAGGAATGAACAGTGAGAGAGGAGGATGACTGAAGTTGGCAGGAATGTCAGGTACATTTGGGAGGCTAATGTCTCAGGCAGCTTAAAATAATAAAAGAAAACTATCAGTAGCATGGAGTGGGTTTTACTAGGAACATAGAACTCTATAGAAGTTTCTCTCCCTCTTTAGTCCTAAACTGCGTCCAAGTTAGAGAAGAATTGGTCTTGTCCAGAAATTAAAAGTAGACCAGGATCAATAACTCAAAGATCCTATTAATGTTCCTTCTTATCCTTTGACTTGACCAACTTTTCACTTTTAAAATCCCTTCATAGCATCATTCCCTCTTTGCCTGAATATATTCCTTCATTCGTCATCCATAATTGCCCCCTTACACATATTCATTTGCCCTCTGCCTCCTGTTCATGTCCATTGCCATTCTGTTCATTCAGGATCTTATCAACTCTTACCTGATCTTCCTGCATTATCCTTTTAACTAGTCTTCCTGACTTTATTCTCAGCTTTGCTTCCTGATCCACCCTCTATGCTGCTTACAGGAGTGAAAACCATCAACTAATATCACCCCCTTGCTTAAATTCCTTCAATGGCTGCTGACTGTACATGGAACAGAGCCCAAACCACTGTACCCCAGCCAGGGTTGCATTGTAAGTCAATGGAAAAAAAACACGGGCTGGAGCCCAAGAGTCTGCCAGGCTTTGAACAAGTTATAAAACTTCTCTGAACCTCAGTCTTCTCATCCTAAAACTGTTGAACAATTATAATAATTTCTACCTTGAAGGATTTCTGTGAAGATCAAATAAGAAAATCTATAGAAAGCACGAGCAATAGCTCAACTGGAGGTTGAAAAGGGATAACTCCTCTTCTTCTTAACAAAAAGATAAGGCCATTGAAGTGTTATCCCCTCTGCCTTTTTAGTTTCATCTCCAAACCATCCTTTTACATTCTTCTGGACCCCTGTTTTCCCCCAGCCCTTCACTTACCGTTTATACCGTGAAACCAATCCTATCTAATTACCAGTCTTTATTCAAATATACCATGTTCTATGTTTCCTCCCCTGGTTTTTGCTGTTTGGTTTGTTTACAAAGCTTGTCTGTTCACCTGAGTGGCTCTTCATCATCCTTCTTTGATCAGCTCAGAAAGCTAACTCTTTTATGACGCCTTTCCTGACTCAAAAGGCAGATAAATGCCCCTCTTCAGTGTTTCAAGCACATGCCTCTTCTATGGGGCTTATCAGTTGAACTACAATTGCTAGCTAACATCATGATCTCTGAGATTATAAGGTCCTTGTGGGAGGGACTGGGTCTTACTCATCTTTGGTTCCCAGTAAGAGTACAGAGCTGCCACATTTTAAGTGATGAGTAATGGGCTCTTATGGAATACTTTTATGTCAGGACAAAGATGGGCAGGTCAACCCTTTAAGGTGAGCAGAGCCAGGGGAAGCAATGCCTACACCTCCCTTTGCTTCTTAGCTTAGCAGTGACCTTGGACAGGTCAAACAGGTCTGTAGACATTACTAAGTTATGTAAAGATGAAGACTGGGAGGAGGGAAGATGGGAAAAAAACACTGTATGATCTCTATTTTCTCATGGTTCTCTGAATTACATCCCATGGGAGAATCCAATGTGCTCCTAACAAAAAAAACTCCAGGCCAGTCAGCCCAGTGGAAGCTGATAATCATCTCACATTTTATGTGTAAATGGCCATGTTCCAAAAACAGGCTTCCAAGGATGGTGGTTCCTTTTGATTACACAAAATGTTCCTCTGAGAGCAAAGTGGACCCTGATCAGCACACACCTCTACTATTGGGCTCGGCATTTTATAATACAGCTGTTTACATGGGCATCTGTCTCTCACACCCATCACGACAAAATGGCTTACAGTGGTGGGACTGCGGAGTGCACACAGTTCTGGTCCCTTCACAGTATCTGGCATAGTGAGGCATGCAATCAAATGCTTGATAGGTGACAGTGGGCTGCATGGTTTAGTGAGAAACAAACTTACTCAAGTGAGAAGATTTGGGATTAGGTTTCAGCCTAGAAGCTTCCTATCTCTATGACCTTGAAGAGTCACTGAGCTCCGTAACATGAAGTTGCCAATGATTTGACTTACCCCTACCCAGGCTTATATTCAGTTGCTATGGCTACATAGTTACTAAAATAATAAAATACTTCCATCCTGGCTGATAAATGATCTTCACCACAACCCCCTGTGTGCCATCCTAACCATCTCACCCTCCAGATGCCACTCCCACCCTATACCGGTAGTAATAAAAGGGCTAATGCACCTCAGGAGGCTTCCAGAACCCTACTTTGGCATACCCTGTCCTTCCTGCCACAAATATTGTGAATGTTACCCCTAATTCGTAGCCGGAGTGATACCAAATGATATAGTTCACATGAAAACACTTTATAAACTGTAAAGGATGACTACATATCCATCCTTCCCATAAGTGTCGGGATGTGATCAGAGGCATGAAAAAGGGGAGGGAGCCTGTTCCTCAGTCGCAACTCACCCTCATTTTAATTGAAGGCTGAGGAAGGACTTGGTGGGGGGTAGCATGAGATGCTCCAGAGCCCCAAATTCAGGTGGATCTGGAGATGGCAAAAGGAAGTGGTTCTCACAAAGCATCCTAGGAGGGCTTTGTTCAAATTGCTCAAGGCAGCAGCCTTCCATTCAATTTGCAGATCTTTTGGGCTCACTTGGCGGCCCAGCTCTCCCAAGCAGCCCCCACTGCTCACAATTAGAAGCCCATTTTACTTGCTCACAGCTCACAGCTCGGCAGGTGTCCCATCAGGTAGGACAAGAGTAGCCAGAAGTGAAGGGCAAGGGGAGGAGAGTAGGCAGTTAGAATGAGGGCTCCCTTGGTCTGGTATATAAGAAAAACTGGATGTGCTAATGAACCTGAGATCCATCAGGGTGTCTGATGGCAGGCTGGTCTCTGTCAACAGACCAATTAGCACACAATTATTTTCCCTTTCTGAAAGCTTGTCTGAGACACTCTTAGGACATTAGCGCCTGAGTGAACTGCACTTTCCATTACCTCTGTATAATCTGCTGAGCGGCCTGCCTCTTCTATAGACAGAGGCACAGGGCTCTCTGGACCAACCCTGCAGAGACTCTGAGACTCCATCACTGGGGGCAAGGGGAGGCTATACTGCTTATCAAGTCCATGTTCAGGCACTGTCTGCAAAAGCACCCTCGCCAATGCCCTCTCTCCTCCTCATTTATCTAGGGAGGACAGAAGGGACTCAGAGCAGAATAGCAGAGGGAAGAGCAGTGACTTTGGGATCTAGTAAAATCATAGTGAGCCTTCCTCCCTCTTGGAGATCAGGCCTAGATCATTCCCTCTAATAGGAAATGAGCTTGAGGATCATGGTCATTGTCACTTCCCCATTCCTATCCTTGTGCCACAATTAATAAAATGAAGCTACTCATATTTGCTCAATAAATTACCTGATTGTCCTCTGTGGAAATTACCTTTGGTAATAGCAAAGTAAAGGTCAGAAAGACCATCTCTAGCAGCCCAGAATGTTAATAGGATGGTGGGAAGGCAGATGGATGGATAGTAAGGAGGAAGGCTTGCCCGTGGGACTAAGGACAGGAAGATGGCTGTTCTAGGTTTTCCTCCTTTGGAGTCATCCTGTTCCTACAAAAAGTGTGTAGTTTCCTCTCTGCCTAGACCTGATACTGGTGAGTGGACCAGCTCAGTGGTGGGTGAATGGCAAATCCAGTGCAGAACTGTGTGACCAGGTGGTGCCAGCTTGCCTGGTGTTGGGAACCAGCAGGTCTTCCAAATACCATGCCCAACATCCCACCCAGCCCTTCAACCCAAGCCATTCCACTAGGGGCAGGCTTCTCCAGAACAGGTGAGCTAGTCCTTAGCTATGGCTCTTCTTACAGGGATTTTCATACCATATAGATAAAGAAGATTTCACTTGATATAAGGCAATGCTCAGCCTTCCACTGCAGTCTGGCAACTCACCACTCACTCACTCACTCACTCACTCAACTCAGCCCTTAATGCCCACCTCCTTGGGGACACAGGCCCAGGTATAACCGCCAGAACTTGGGGATTATGGAAACTTGTTTCCTCTTGTCTGTGCATCCTTGTGGCAGTGATTGGGGCTTACACACCGTGAGTTCCGATTCTTCCTTGAATATTTGTTAAATAAAAAAATAAGTGAATGAGTAAGTTGGATGAATCCTAGCCCAGCAGGTGACTAGCTGTGTTACTTTGAATAAGTCATTTAAGCTCACTGGTCTTGGCTTTCTCATTCTAATACAAGGGTCCTACAATCTCAAGGCTAAACAATTTGTTTTGCCTCAGGTTCACATTCAGAGCAGAAGGTAGATCACCAAAATATGCTGTTTAAAGTAATTGCTTTTAAGATTGATGTCATCGAAAGGGATTTAACTCTATTTTCTGCAGTCTATTGGCATGCCCTCACAGGAGACAAAGGGGCACCAAACTGGAGTCTGGGGACTTAAGGGTAAAAATCCTGTCTGGGCTACTCAACAGTGTGGAACCTTGGGAGAGTGATAGTAGTGAGATTCATCTCAGAGAGTTACTGTGAAGGTGAAAAAGTATGATATTAGAGGATGAACTTGGAAAACTGTTGTTTCTACCCTTGTCATGGTCTTGTGTCCCATTTATGGACTGTGTCCATCATTGCCCCTTGGTCTTTGCAAGTATATCCTTTTCTCTCAATTCCCTCCCCATCCCACTCCTACTCATCCGTCAAGACCAATGTCTGCATCTGGCTCACCTCCTCCATGACTAATTTAAGTTACAATATCTCTCCCATCTCTCACATTTCAAGTCATTATCAATACCAGCTCTCACTTGCCCCTTCTTTTTCTCAGAGTACCTTTCCCTCCCTTCTCTTCGTGTCCACTTTCTACTTAGCTTTAAGGACCAACTCAGTTGGTGTCTTCTCTGCTACTTCTTCCCTTGTTTTATCTTTGTTTAGAAATATACCTTCCTCAGTAGCCATGACACACTGCTTCTGCTAGACTTGAATGTGTATCAGTCAGTTGTTTATTATATGTACCTACTCCCCACTACAGGTATAGATGAGGACTTGGAGGAGGGAAGTTGATTGTAATTTCCTGACAATATAGTATATAATGTGTATATCTTTGTGCTCAACTCTCTTCCCCTTAAAGCCTGAAACCTACCACTCATAAATTCTCTAATTTACTGAGTACCTGGTATGTACAACTGTATTAACAGCTGCTGACAATATGAGCTTACTTTGTGGAGCCTTTGGTGTGTGGAGGACCCACACATTGTGAAATAGTCCCAGCAAAGGATGGACTAGGGTGGCCTGCCTGCCTGCCGCTGAGCAGAGGTGCCCAGAGCTTGGAGAGGGGGTGAGAGGTATCAGAGCAGACTTCGTGGAAGAACTTGGGGAAAGGCACACTATGAATATTTGATGAACTGCATGGAATTGAAATGGTGGCTGCTCAATAAATACTAGTTCATTGGTTGATTGATTGTGGGAAAAGCCTTAGAAGATCCTGAGAAGAAAAGGCCTCAAATCCCCATCGTTCTTATTACATAATTATTTCAGTGCATTTAAAGCTCCTCATTTTTTATCTTATACTTTTAACATCAGGGGAAAACTGATAGGCCAACTTTATGATATTTTAAAATGACTCTGATGTTTTGGAATATTACATGGCTATAAGACTTTATGTATATTTAATATACTTAGTAAAATATGCAGTAAGCCCATGGCTGATTTTCTCTAAGGACTTCTCAGTGCCGAGGTGGGGCTTAAATGTTTAATACTAATAATAATACTCATTATTCATATTTCTCTAGTGCTTTTCATCTTAGGGATCCGTCAAGCCTGGCAGCACCACAGTGATTGGCTGCATCTGGGCTCACCAGAAGGCTGACGGCATCCACATCTGGTCTCCTGTCTCTCTCCAGGGAGGGGAGGGTCCAGCTTAAAGGTGCAGCTTCCTCTGCCTACGGTGAATTTTCTCTTCCCCGACACAAATTCTTTCTGGCTCCCTCTGAAGGACTGCCCCTGTGTAGAACTGTTGCTTCCAGCCATGCCCCACAGATAGTCACTATCTTAGGACAAGGAAGAAAAGTGGTGCTAGGCTCTGAGGGTGGGGGAACATAAGCCATTCCTTTGGCTAGACACAGAGCCTGAGATGGGTGACTGGAGAGAGAGAAAGGCAAAGGGAGAGTCTCCCCTTATTATATAAACCCACGCTCTGCCCTTCCTGCTCTAGGTCACGGAGACCAGGACCGGCCCTCTGGGCTGCAGCAACTACGACAATCTGGACTCGGTCAGCTCAGTCCTGGTGCAAAGTCCGGAGAACAGAGTGCAGTTACTCGGTAAGCTGCACAGAGATGGTGTTCCACTCCTCACACCTGGTAAAACACATGGATCCCCAGGGAGTAAGGAAAAGTCCTACCGGACCCACCCATTTGCTCAAGCCCTTTTTAGACAAGAGTGACCGAGAGTTCTGGGACTGGTGGTTAACAACTTTCCAACTTTCCATCATTCATTTAAGAAAACTTCTGACATGATTTGCCCCACATCCAAGACCAATGCCACTGGACACCCCAAATTCAAAAACACTGTCACTGTCCTACAGCAACAATGCATCCATCTTTATATCCCTTGACCTAGTTCAGCGATCTCCTTTGTTGCTTAAAGAACCTTCTGCTTTGTCTTGAGAACTCACTGGGAACAGCTGGCCTTTGCAGAATGGTTATGGGGCCACCATCTCTAGCTCAATTAAGAACTATACAAACTGTTGTACCACTGGTTACCCTGAAAATAGTGCCCTGCTTTCTGTTATTAGTGGGTAATCTTCCTTGGGAGATCAAAGCTAGGAGGAGCGGGTGAGAGGAATGGGATCCTGGACTGAAGGTAGAGCAGCAAGCAGGAAGACGGGAAAGCCAGAGGAAAGGAAAACTCCACTAGGTCAGGAGGCTGGAGGTGCAGCAGCCTCACTCCTGCTGTCTGTCCTCCAGGCACACAAACGAAGTCAGACAGAGCTGTTTGATAGTGGGAAAAGTTCATTTTTCTTAAGACCTAACTGAATTGGTCTCTGCTTAAGATATTATTGTCTCTGTATTATAAAATCAATAGCTCTCACCCAGGATCTACGATTACAAATTCCAGGCAACCTAAGTGGGATGCAACCCATAAATGCTTTAGGAATCAAGGAGTAAATAACAAAGAGGAGTAAAAGACTCCTTTATTTAGAGGCACCTAAGGCAGTTAGCATCCCTCTTCTCCTATGTTCCTGGGTGGGCTGGGTTGGTGTCTGGAAATTAGCAACCAGGGAAGTTCAGAATGTCTGGTGGTTCATTTGGAGTGGTTTATGCCATTTAATTTTATAGCCCATCACTCATTGCAGACATTGCTCCGGGCACTTATTTTATAGCAGTGGGAAATGTTATGGTTAGGCAGAGGGAGGCGATAGGGGAGGTGAAAGGAGTGGACTTGTAGAGGGGTGGGCGTTGAGAGCATGCCTGTGGACAGGGAGTGTGGGGAGGGCAGTTCTAAGGCCCCTGCAGGCACCATATCAAGAAAGGAAAATTCCGGAACAGTTCAGAAACAGGAGGGAGGCCTCAGACAAGAACACCAAACATCCACTGTGGCTGTAATTCTAACATATTTTGAATTGCTGAGACTGGGATACATACTTTGGGCTCTCTGATTTCCTGCCAAGGACAAGGTCAATGGTGTGAAAATAAACAGATGGCAGACATTTGAGAAAAGGCGGTGCATCATATACAGAAATCCCTTTGTCCCTCATAGTGTGCCTAGCGGGAGAGTCTCCTGACACAGGATCTCATAGTATGCCTAGTGGGGGGAGTTTCCTGCAGGTCTGACCTTGAACAAGCTCAGGCTGTGTCTCAAGGCATGTTTGTCCCTCATTCATTCCTTAATATGCTTCTAACAGCCACTTTGTGTGGCTTGAAACTAACTAGGGGTATCTTCTACTACTTACTGGTAAACAAATACCCACCACTGATGGGTGGGGAAACTGAAGCATTACAGCCAGATCAGAGGATGCTAATTAGAAGAGTGCTGAGAGCCATTTGCATGCATCCAGGCCTCACTGATCTTGGGTATTTACCACCATCCTATTTTCGAATCTCCTCAAGAGTTAAATTACATTGGGATGGAGCAGCCAGTCCTGGTGGGACAGGGCAGGGTCTGACACCAAGCAGACTTTACTAGTACTGTGAGCTGGGCTGGTCACTGAGGTCACTGGGCTTGGATTCCCTCACTTCTAAGAGGCTCAGTTTGACCACAACTGTTACTTGCAATTGTATATGGAAAGTACTTGGGGTAGTTCCAGGCCACTATATACCCACAATACCTGTTCCTGCCTCCTAATCAGGGCAATCTCTGTCATTGGGGCTGGGGTGGGAGGCCCAGGAGGATCAGCATTCAGTAACATCCTAGGATGCCTGCTGCTAATCTCAGTGAAGCTAGAAACAGGATGGTTATCAGAGACAAAGCAAAAAGCCCATCAAGGCTTGATTCCTCCCCCATGAGAGCTGTAAGCTCTTCTTTTATCTGAAACATCTTCCTGTTTCCATCCTAGAAATGCTGATGGGTAGCCAATAAGCCCGTTCATATGATGTGCACGCTCTCAATTTGGCTGATATAACAGGTTCAACTAAGCCTTGGGCTTTGATGATCTTCATTTGCATTTTCAGATCCTCCCCCATCTGTCACTGGGGCAGTGGCAACCTTCTCTCCCAACCAGCTCAGCAGGATCAGGCCCTGGGGTGACCGTTCTTGGGCCCAGGATGCACAAGGCAGCAGAATCCCAGCTGGGGCTCTTGCAGCCTGGGGTGAGGGGAACTGAGCCCCATTGGTTCCGCCTGGCGATTTCCTGGCATGTCCTTTCCCTAGGCCTGCAGGTACTGCTGCCTGAGTACCTGCGTGAGCGCTTCGTGGCTGCAGCGCTGAGCTACATTACATGCAGCTCAGAGGGCGAGCTCATCTGCAAGGAGAATGACTGCTGGTGCCAGTGCAGTCCCACCTTCCCCGAGTGCAACTGTCCTGATGCTGACATCCAGGCCATGGAGGACAGCCTGCTGCAGATCCAGGACTCCTGGGCCACTCATAACCGGCAGTTTGAGGAGTCAGGTGAGCAATCATCGGTCCCAGGTGTCCTTCCTGTCAATGGGAGGTGGCTGTGAGGTGTAGGGCAAGATCATGGGAACTCAACGTGGATCCTGACTCAGCCACCTCAAGCAGGTTCTATCACCACTCTGAGACTCAAATAATTTCTTTTTGTTTTACACACAAATGGGCATACTACATACTGAAGAGATGTGTTTGAAGAGTTTAGTAAGCTAATGAAATATAAGGGAGGCATAGGCTCTGTCTGTTTTGTATGCTATAGGTTCCACGGTGCCTAGAATAGTGCCTGCACATAAGGTGCACAATAAATGTTTGCTGAATGAGTCAAGTGAATAGAAAAGTTCTAAGAGAGCCAGCTGTGCTATATGTAACTAATATCAATGTAACCTGGAGACCTAGATTCTGAAGGACTTGGTTTGTGTTATAGTCTGTGTCCCCAAATTCATATGTTGAAAATCTAATGCACTCAGTGATGGTTTTAGGTGGTGGGACTTTGGGGAGTGATTAGGTCACGAATGGGATTAGTACCCTTATAAAAGAGACCCAGAGAGATTTCTAACCCTTTCCACCACGTGAGGACACGGTGAGAAGTCAGCCATCTGCAGCCCTGAAGAGGGCTTTCACTAGAACCTGGCCATACTGCAACTCCAATCTCAAACTTCCAACATCTACTAGTTAGTAGAACTGTGAGAAATGAGTTTCAGTGGTTTGTAAGTCACCAAGTAGAATTTTATTGTAGCAGCCCAAACAGACTAATTGTAAACACCCTGTTACTGCCCAGCTCTATAACCTCATGTTGGCCACACAGCTTCTCAATGCCTCAGTTTCCTCATCTGTTAGAGGGAAAGTGATAATGACTATTAGATAGAAGGCTGAAAAAGGATAATTTAGATAAAATAAATGTAAAAAGAACTCTGCACAATTCTATTCATACAATTCAATACTAATAAATGCTAGTTATATGGATATATTTAAAAAGCATAATGTTAGATAAAACAGCAAAAGGAATAGATATAATATATACATCTTTATATATAATACTATATGTAATGCTATAATAATCTATTAAATATAATACACATTTAATAGTAGTTATATGGAGTTGAAGAACATGCTAGTGAATACTTAATATTTTTATAAATACACTTGTAGAACACATAAAGATATGTGATAATGATAGAGAAAACATACAAGAGAGTGCCCACATCTTGATGGAGAAGTGAGGAAGTTTGGGGTCTTCAAGTATATTTGCTTTGTCTTACTTCCTTAAAAATAATCTGAAACCAATATGGCAAAGGGACAAAAGCTTGTTAGTGGGCACATAGGAATTTATCCTGCTATTCTCCATACCCCTTTGTATACTTAAACCTTTTATTTAACAGAACAATGCACAGGATAGTTATAAGTTTCACTACAGGAGTGATTCTCCAGTTCTCTGCGGGGGATGCAGAAACAGATGCTTGAGAAGTCAGAATGAGCTGAGGCCCCTGTCATTACGAGTTCTAGGCAAGGCATTTAACAGCTAAGAAGTACATCCCACCCCAGGCCTCCAACCCCAGCTGCTTTGGGCTACTGGGGATATTTGTTCTGTAACTTTTAAGTGTGCGGGAAAAGACTTTGAGCTTTCACCGCCATGAATTGCTGCTGCTGAGTAAACAAGGACTCTCTGGATCTCCAACAGGAGACTGGTGGCTGCAGGTCCCATTAAAGCAGATGTGGGCAGATCTCTGAGCATGAATTCAGAAAGCATGTTGTGACCAGGAAGCCCGGAGAACATCTCAGACTGGCAGTAGGAGCTAAGAATCAGAGAGCACATTGCTTCTGGATTAGCTACAGGAAAGAACGAGTATCTGACCAAGCCTGGAAGCTGGGGGGAAAAAAAGGCAGTATATCCTAGAGTTTAAAAAAAAAAAATGGATAGGGAGAGGGTGGCTGACCTCAGAGACTGAAAGGCTTTCAGTAAGATTTCTCAGCTGGTGCTCTATCCTCTCTGTGTCCCCATTGGCCAGTCAGTTCTGGGCCATGTCCACCGGCCTCCAGCACTGCTACCAGCTGCTGGGAGCCAGCTTGAAAGTGCTGTTCACCCTTAAGAGTGCCACATTTTCCATAAGGGTATTGCGGTGTCTTTGAAGATTGGCCTCAGACAGCGCTCTAATGACTTACAAGGAAGTAGAAAGGGGAAAAGAGATGTGCCCCAAGGTCATTGGCCCCTTGGGGATGACAGATTGGCTCTCTGAATGACTTACAAGGAAGTAGAAAGGAAAAAGAGATGTCATTGGCCCCTTGAGAATGACAGAGATCTGTCTTGAAATTGAGAAGCATATTAAGGACAGGAAGGATGGGAAAGAATCCTGAAGCCACATTTTATGGCATATTAATTATTTCTCCATAAAGCTATTGAGAAGAAAAAAAAATATATATATATATAAAGAGCCTGGGAGAGTGACTGCGAAGCCTCCTTCTGTATGCAGTGACTCTGAAGGGCCAGGGAGCGCCCGCCTGCCCCTCCGGGGGCATGGATACACCCCCTCAGCCCTGTCTGTGTCCTTGCCCACAGAGGAATTCCAAGCCCTGCTGAAAAGGCTGCCTGAGGACAGGTTCCTGAACTCCACAGCCATCTCCCAGTTCTGGGCCATGGATGCTGGCCTCCAGCACCGCTACCAGCAGCTGGGAGCCAGCTTGAAAGTGTTGTTCAAGAAGATGCATCGGATCGTCAGCCGGCTCTTCAACCTCTGCAAACGCTGCCACCGGCAGCCTCGCTTTCGTCTGCCCAAGGAACGGTGAGCACCGCAGGCCCCAAAGCCAGTGCTGGGCACCTCCCCAACAGCTAAGGCCAGGGTGGATCCTCTGCCCAACATGGGAGACCCAGAAATAGGGAGACACATACATGGCCTTTTAGATGTTCCTATTATTTTGACCTACTCATGTATCGTCAACTATGAGATGTACATAAAGCGAGTGAGTAAAAAAAAAAAAAAAAAAGAGAGAGGCTAGATGGACTTTTATATGAATGATAGTAGAATCAAATGCTATCCTAATAATACTCCTATTCTCACTTATTTCCATTTGGATAAGTCTTCTAGATAAGTCTTCTAGGGGAGTCAAAGCTCATACACTAACTGCTTGGGATAGGAACTACACACATTGGATTATTTTGAAGAGGTGACTCGCTGAGTCACAAGAGAAAAGAGAGCTGGGGTCCTGTGTCCTCGGGCACAGAGTGGGGCTGCCTGTTAGACACTCACTCATCCATCTGCTCATTGACTCATTTGTTCAACAGGTTTTTATTAAGTCCATATTGCATGTGATTTGATTAAGCTGTGGGGGATATTTGGGAAGACTGAAAAAATATACGGAAACATAAAAACTGAAAAATTGCAACTATGTGGCAGCCACTTAAAGCCACTTCACTTCATGTTCATGGAGTGTAAATAAAAAAACATGGTCCAGTAGAAGCAAAGGCCAAAGAGGAAAACCACCACGGGGAAGGAGGCGTGGCCAGGCTGTAAGGGAGGAGATGGAAAGGCGGGTGCATGTGAGCGGGGCATTCCAGGAGAGGGAGCTGCCCTGGCAATAACCCAGAAGCGCCACTCTACCTGAGGCACAGGTGGGAAGGAAGAGAAGGGGGAGTGCAGGCCAGCGAGGGATTTGAAGACCAATTCATTTCTTTTTCAACAAATAATTATCAAATATTTACCATGCACTGGGAACCATTCTAGCTCCTAAGAACATGTTGGCGAATAACACAGTGTCCCTGCTCTCATGACATCTGTAAGGAAGCCATCTATGAACAAGTCAGCACCAAAGGAACACAATAATTTCCGATCCTGATCACTGCTGTGGGTTCACAGAAACAGGGTGATGAGACAGAGAGTGTCTGTGCATTTTTTTCTGGAAGGGAAGTCATGGAAGACCTCTTTGGGGAGGCATTATTACACAGCTGACATTTTTAAAAGGAGCCATGTTAGGAAATTTCTATTCTTGGTGGAAGAGTGAGAGAAGCAGAGGGAACACAAAGGACAGCGACTAAGAAGGAGAGGGAGTTGGCAGGATGTTTGAAAGTGGAGAGCTGGCTGTGAGAAGATCTTCTTTAGGAGGCTGGAAACCTAATTTGACATAAAAGATGGGGCAGAGCTTCTGCAGGCTTTTGAGTGAGGCAGTGAGGCGGTACCTGGGAGGGATGAGCTTGGCGGATTCCACTTCAAGGTTGATGTCAAATATTTCTGGGGTAGATCTGTCAGAGACTGAGTCCCAGGCCCTAGTCAATCTTTCCAAAGTGGCACAATAGGGTTTCCATCTTTTAGAGAATGTGGGCCTTTAATTTCCTGATTGCTTTCCCTGTCTGCTGATCACTATCCTTGTACCCTCAGGGAGGATGGCAGTGGGGTGTGCAGCTTCCTATGACTCTTGTTTCATCTTTGTCTCCTCTCCCAAAGGTCCTTGTCTTACTGGTGGAACCGAATCCAGTCCTTCCTCTACTGTGGAGAAAGCACCTTCCCTGGCACCTTCCTGGAGCAGAGCCACAGCTGCAGCTGCCCCTATGATCAATCTTCCTGCCAGGGCCCCATCCCATGTGCCTTGGGTGAAGGGTCTGCCTGTGCCCACTGTGCCCGGGACAACAGTACACGCTGTGGGGGCTGCAATCCAGGCTACGTGCTGATCCAAGGGCTGTGCCGGCCAGAGGTGGCTGAGTCCCTTGAGAATCTCCTGGGGCTGGAAACAGACCTGCAGGACCTGGAGTTGAAGTACCTGCTGCAGAAGTGGGACAGCCGCATTGAGGTGCACTCCATCTTCATCAGCAATGACATGCGCCTGGGCAGCTGGTTTGACCCCTCTTGGAGGAAGCGCATGCTGCTCACCCTGAAGAGCAACAAGTACAAGCCTGGGCTTGTGCATGTGATGCTGGCTCTGTCCCTGCAGATCTGCCTCACCAAGAATAGCACCCTGGAGCCCGTCATGGCCATCTACGTCAACCCCTTTGGAGGCAGCCACTCTGAGAGCTGGTTCATGCCCGTGAATGAGGCCCACTTCCCGGTCTGGGAAAGGACTAACGTGGACGCGGCTGCCCAGTGCCAGAACTGGACAATCACCTTGGGGAACAGGTGGAAGACCTTCTTTGAGACAGTCCATGTTTACTTACGGAGCCGAATCAAGTCCCTGGATGACAGCTCCAATGAGACTATCTACTATGAGCCCCTGGAGATGACAGATCCCTCCAAGAACTTGGGCTACATGAAAATCAACACCTTGCAGGTCTTCGGTTACAGTCTGCCCTTTGACCCAGACGCCATCCGGGACTTAATCCTCCAGTTGGATTACCCGTACACTCAAGGCTCCCAGGACTCTGCCCTCTTGCAACTCATAGAGCTTAGGGACCGGGTTAACCAGCTATCTCCACCTGGCAAAGTCCGGCTGGACCTTTTCTCCTGCTTGCTCCGGCACCGGCTCAAGCTGGCAAACAATGAGGTGGGCAGGATCCAGTCCTCCCTGAGAGCTTTCAATTCCAAGCTGCCAAATGCTGTGGAGTATGAGACAGGCAAACTCTGTAGCTAATGGGGAGGGGAGGCCACTTCAGTGCTGGACAGGAAGGGGATCCATGCATCCAGGCACACACCTTGGTGCCAACAAGGTGCTCCCTTGAGACTCTGCACCCAGCAGATGGGACCTCGGGGATTGGACTGACACAGACAGGAGAGAAAGAAGCAGTCACTGCACATGCACACACCTCCCGTGTGTGCACATGCAGACACACACACACACACACACACACACACACACACACACGCACATGCTCCCTTGGGGAGGCTACAACTCAGCAGGCTCCTGTCTGTAAAGTTGGTGCTTTCTGAAATGAATGCAGTTGAAGGAGATGAGCCAAGGGAGAGATTAAGAAAAAGAACCAGCCAAACCATGAAACAAACAAATCCTTAAAAGTGATTCTTATTCAAGGAAGCAAGAGGGACAAAGAGGAAGGGTGGAGCTCCTGCTAGCTCTCAGTGGAGTCACTTTTGTATTCTTTTTAACCAGTTTTCTTGAAACAACGGTGTTTCGTGATTCCCACAATGGCTCCTACTTTTTGTACTCTGACTCCTCTGAGCCCTCCTCGATGCTGACTGCTCCCCAAGGCGGCTCCTTTAAGAAACAGAGGAAGTGACATCAACTGAGGACTCTCAGGGTGGGCAGGTGGCCTTGCTCCCACTTCACCTTTCTCCCTCCCCTGGTCCCCTAGCTTCCTGGACTACCCCAGTTTTGGGGCCGGGCTTGTTCCTCATCCCATCCTCCTCGCCCCCGGTTCAGCCAGAGCTCCCTTCCTATAGCCCCCAATCTGTCCAAGAAAGCAGCTGTCCAGTTAGAGAGACAATGTCTAGGAAAATGTTTTTTTAAAAACAAAAACAAAAATATTTATTTTGTGATTGTTTTCCTTGTCAATCTGCTCCAGCCACATGAACATATGAGTAAAAAAATTAACTGAATTAATATATATTTTTAAAGACCTTTATTAGGGGGTTTAAAATGAGAGGGAAAAGAGGCAAAAAGAGTATAGTTTCCTGGATTTTGTATTGCTCTATGGGTGACATGTGGGTGTCCTTAGATGGTAAATACTGCTGTGTGGGAGGCTGGTTGGCTAGTATATACACAAGTGAATGCATGCCTGTCTTGACTGGGTGTGAGGTGTGTGTGTGTGTGTGTGTGTGTGTGTGTGTGTGTGTGTGTGAGAGAGAGAGAGAGAGAGAGAGAGAGAGAGAATAAAAATTGGAATGAGATGGAGGCAGAATTCTCCCAGGTAATTATGTGGCTGCCCCTCTCCTTTTTCCCATGAGTGAGGACTAACACGGGTCCTAAACTATCAGGAGAATGAAAGTCTTTGCTCTTTTTTTTTTTTTTTAATATATTTTATTGATTTTGTAAAGAGAGGAAGGGAGAGAGATAGAGAGTTAGAAACATTGACAAGAGAGTCATCGATCAGCTGCCTCCTGCACACCCCCCACTGGGGACATGCCCACAACCAAGGTACATGCCCCTGACTGGAATCGAACCTGGGACCCCTCAGTCCCCAAGCCGACGCTCCATCCATTAAGCCAAACCAGCCTCGGCGAAAGTCTTTGCTCTTTAGGGGAACTGCGGCCTTTATGCTGGGCAAATACTGGCTAAATGGGGCACCTCTGACTGCTGCAGACATCAGGATAATTTTCCACACTCCGCAACTTAGTCTGGGACCGCCCTTTGAGGACACTGGGAAAGATGCAGACTTGACATGAGTTTCCTCCTTCTGTCTGGTCACCACTTCCCAGCCTGAAAAGCAGGTTTGACATACACCACACAGGGCAGTGTCTCTTCTTCCCTTAGTGCCTTCCCTAGGTGGTATGGGAATCTCTTCACAGCAAATCTTTTGAAAAACCATGTCTCTCTATCTGTTCTCCACATGCCCTGAGCACAATGTGTAGGCATAACAACCTCCATTTTATTCAAGCAGAAGTCACCACATAAATACTAAGTACCTCATTCTGTACCTGTGGTACATCTCAGTTGATAAGAAATGAACTGGGAGACAATGAGAGGATGGCCATGTCCATCTGCCCAAGAGCATCCATGTTTGTCTTTACATATAGAAGAGTCCAGCATTATATTTAATCCCTGAACCATCTCTCAGTTCACGAGGACCTGAAATCCCAGGTAGATAAGGAGCCTAGGGCATTTCTTCTTTCACAACTCCCTAAAGTCTACTAGGGTAGGAATGCAGAGTGATGGATGAACTAGGGACAAACAGTTATTACCTATTTCTAGTTCAGCCACTGCTGTCATGGGGTGGGAGGGCGTGTCTCAAGCTCTTTGTCAATAGGGCTATGGATGTACCAAGACTGCTTCTAGAAGGCACATGGAAGAAAAAGATGAAATAAAGAATGGACAGGATTCCTTAAGGGGCTATTAAAGGCTTTAAACCATGAATTCAGCATAAAATTTCTCAAAAAGCTCGCCTAAGAAATGCCATAATAATAAAAGGATGCCCCTGGTCAAAATTTTCACTTTCAAAGTCTATAGTACCCAGATAATATGAACCAACTACTCCCAGATACACTCACAAATAAAGAATTGTCACTAATTAGTAGTGGGTTGTCAATGTTGGTGAACTCCCTGTGGAATTAAGAGCCAAATCACGGTTCAGTTACTGGCTATAACAATCAGGAATTCAAGCCTTAATTGTCACTCAAAAGAACTAATACATCAAATGTAATCTGTCCTAATGCTTGAGACTAATACCTCTAATACTAAATAATGTATTTAATACCTGCTGCTAATAATATAATGCCATGCTCTGCAGGCCTATTCACGCACACACAGCCAAAAACATAAATGAAGACTGTTTCAAATACTTGGTATCACAAATAATTCACATACAGTTCTTGGCTTCTCTTCACAAATATGAAAACAATCTTCACGTTGGGCAGAGCTGCCTTATGTGTAGATGGAATGCATTGCTAAACGATGTCCTGCCCCCAAATATCATTGGCAAAGTCTGTAATTTCATCATGTAAGTCTTTTCTCTTGCACAAGACAGATCTTTTTTTTATACCATTATGTTTCATATGAAAATGAAAATGCCCTTAGGAGGAAATAAATCTTAGAAGGAAACTCACTGGCAAAAGAGAGGATGCAATTTTTGGAGTTGGAAGGTTTTTAGAGGTCATTCAGTCAACTCATTTCTGATGTAAGAAAGAAGAAGTGAAAGAACTTGCCCAAGATTGTATATGTTAGCAGAGCTGGGAATAGCACTGAACCTGCTTTTTTCTCTACCTCTCTCTAGTAAATGACATCTGGGTCTTGGGAGATGACAGGCACCCTGTGTGGGGCTTAGGAGTGTGAGGGTGGAGGAAAGGTGATTTTCCAGAAGAGGACTACATAGAGTGGGAATAGCTTCCCATCTTTCCCTGGGATTGGTTCTAGCAAAAGTAACCAGCTTCTCTAACAGGCAATAGAAAAAGACTGAAGTTTCTTCCGGGACAAGCTTTCGGCACAGCCTAGACATATTTCCATCCAGGTTGGATCACCTTACTGGACTCCTGACTCAGCTAGATTTTTTTTAATTACAACATCCTGCCTCTAATTTATTGATGTTTTCTATAGATCACCAATCAGAGTTTGAATATCTTTACAAATCTGTGTAACATCTTTCTTGTGAAGGCTAGAGGCATCTGGGTACCACCAATACCAAAGGGCTTAAGCAGTGCAGTCAGCATGTGAAGTGTATGACCGGAATCTAGGCCATGGCAGAGAAAGAGAATGAAGCTACCTCTGCTGTGCACTGAGTTCTCACTCCTTCTAGCAGTAGAATGAGAATATTGACCAATGGAGACAAAGCTATCTATGGCTGGCACTCCTGGCCTAGAAGGACAGGTGGAAAATTCAGATAATGTGATTGACTGTAGACCCACACTTTTCTTCTTGTTCTGCCTCCAACCATCTCCACACCCGTGAGCAAATCACTTCACTTCTCCCAGTTTGCTCCTCTGAGTATGAAGGAGTTGGATTTCCTACCCAGGTAGTGGGGTAGGAAATAGTACCTTCTGGTACTATCCTTTTAAAAGCAGTGTGACCCAGGAGACAATCTGAGAAGTCAGACAGACCTGATTTGTATAGTGGCTCCACATTTATATTTAAGTGACCTTAATTCTTGACTTGTCCCCTTATCTGTAACCCAACTATTTCATGTCCACCTCCATGAGATTTTTCTTTTCTTTCTCTTTCTGAACACTCACCTCTCTGCTCTATACACTTTTGTTCTATACTCTCCAATGTCCACAACACATGTATTATCTTCAATTCTCCAAATATTAAGCCTGTTTCTTCTCTTTCTCATATCCTCCTTTCCTTTATTCATGTTTTAAGAGCTAGGCAATAGGCTCAAGTGCAGGGTATTGAAAACTCTTTGAAACATGCTTCTGGGCCATGGAGATTTGGACAATATAATGTGTGTGTGGGGGGGGGGGTTGCATACACAAATCAGAGCGGTGCATTCTCTAGGAGAGATGTACAAAATACTGATGATGCACAGAAAAGTCACTCCCTGGAAGAGACACTAACGACACTTACTGTGAACCTCCTAGAACTATGGGAGAAATACCCCAGGTGTCCAGATGTTTTACATCTCAATGGAGGGAAAGACCTAATATATAACATGTGCGTCCTTTTTAGAGAGCAAGAAAGTTCAAGGATGGCAGCAGAACCCTACTGAAGTCACACGTGTCTGGTTGGTGCCCTTATTTCTAACTCCTGAACCCCATGTCAGCACCAAGGCATTCAGTCTAAGGCATGCTCAAGGGGGCTGCCATGGGAGGTCTGTTTAGTAGCAGAGCTGCCTCACCCTATTGAGGGTACAATGGTTTCAAAAGAGTGATTCCTGACTAAAACGGTGCATATGATTCATCTGCAGATTCTGATTCAACAGGTCTGGGTGGGACCCCAGATTCTGCACGTCTAACAAGTTCCCAAGTGATGCTATTGCTGCTGGTACATGGACCACATTTTCAGGAGTAAGTTTCTTAGGGAGTCTGCCT